GAACGCTTATAAAATCTGTCCTAAGGGAAATTTTGAATGCCTCTTCGGGCCAAATCCTTTATTTTGTCCATAAGTACCCCCCTGCCAAGTGGCATCGCTTGACACAAATTTGCCGTTTCCGATTTATATGGGAGATGTAGAGCGGGCACTATTGCCCGGAAAGGGCTGCCGGCGGGTCCGGGCCCGAGGGGGCGTGTCGCCGTCCCCAATGTCGGCCTGCGTCCCGGGCCGGCTGCAAGTTGTTATCTTCATATCGTTTTGGTGCGGCCCGGCGGCCCGACCGGAGCCTCCTGACTGAGACGTCTTCATTTCCACTTTTCCTACTCTCCCATTGTGTGTGTCCCGCTGCCCTTTCCTCTCGGCTCCTGCACCGGCCGGGCCCCGCCCAGCGGGCAGGTCACTGGACTGGACTCACTGGACAGCACTGGACGTCGTTCGATAGAGTTGTCGAAGCAGCAGCAGCAGGAGCGGGCGCAAGTTCAAGCAACCTGAAAGAACAGATTTACAGTTGCCACTTGCTCCTTTCTGAATGTTTGTTTTCTGTCGCCTCGCCGCTGCTGCTTCTGCTGGAGACAGCTGGTGGCGCAACAACCCGGCTGGCCGGCAGCAAGCGTAAAGTGGCCTCCAGGCGAGCCTCCAGTCTGATCGTGAGCCCGCTCTACAGGGGCCTCCTGGAACCTCCAGTCTGATTGTGAGCCCGCTCTACAGGGGCCTCCTGGAACCTCCAGTCTGATTGTGAGCCCACTCTACAGCTACAGGGGCCTCCTGGAGCCTCCAGTCTGATTCTGAGCCCGCTCTACAGGGGCCACCTGGAGTCTCCGGTCGTAATTGTGAGCCCGCCTTAGCACAGGGACCCCCCCGGAGCCAGCCCGACCTCTACGGGGGCGTTCTGGAGCTTCCAGGTCCGATCGTGAGCCCGGCCTTCAAGGGCCTCCTGGAGCCTGGAACCAGTCTCTGTCGCACACCCGTCCAGCGTGGTGCCGCCGTGGTGCGTGTGGGTGCGAGGGAGACGCGGCGGAGGGAGTTTTCGAACAGAGTCCCTTTACCTGCCCGACCGGCGGTCCCGGCCGTCGCGCGTGTCAGTGTGTGTGGTGGTGGTGTGTGTGTGTGGGCGGCGGGCCCGGCTCCGGGGAGGGAGTCCTCTGGCGCGATCAAGCCTCGACTCCGGGAAGGCTCTGCTTGGCTGCAGGCTCGCTCTCTGACTCTCGACTTCTGCCTGCCTCCGAGGTTGTGATTTCTTTTTCCGAGAAGAACAACAAGTCTATCGGCATGGCGTCAACCCCTCTGCGAGCGCGCAGTGGATCCGGGCTCAAAATACCCGTCGCTCTCTCTAACGTCCTTTTCCGTCCCGGACGCTCCGATGTCTAACGGGCACGCATTTTTAGAAGCCTGTTATTTGGACTCAGACTCGCCGACAGTGTATCGACGCACCTTTATCACTACACTGTGGAATGGCGGGGCACGGCGGGCGGGCGGTTGGGGCGGGCCGCACCGGAGCACCGGAGGGACCCAGTGACGCGTATGGGAGTCTCGTGGACATTATCATTGCGCCTGAAAGGAGATGTCAGGATTCATCGAAACCGCATCATTGTGTGTGTGTGTAAAGGGGGGGGGGGGAGGCCGCCCGCCTGGTCGTCGCCGTTTGTCGTTCGTCTTCATGCCGTTATGAGTCGCTTCTGCTGCTGCCTCTGCTGCTTCGAACGAAATGCATTGTGAGAAATTTACGATGATTCCAAGAAAGCTTGGGTGTCGGAGGTGTGCGGTGAGGGAGGTTCAGGGGGTCGTTCACAAGCCACGTCTGTGCCAAGCAGCGCCCTCCGCCCTGTGATTTGGTCGCTCCGCGCTCCGACGTGAACGACAGCGTCGTGGCCCCTCCCCGCGTGCATCCGGGATGAGAACAAGTTGTCATCGCCGTCCTGTTTGGGCTGTAACGGCGCGTCGCTGCCGTCGGCTGCTCAAAACGACTCTGTTTTCTCTTCAACGGCCGCGGCGTCGAAAGGAGAGGCCGGGGAAGAAACAGAGGAGAGATGATGGCGGAGATGGCTGTGGAGAAGTGGACGCGGCGTCGCGGCCGCGCAGCGGTGACACTCGGCTCTTGTGGAGCAAGTGGCCGCTCCCCGTGCGTATCACGGAGTGGAGAGATCCCCCATCTCTCTCGGACTCTCTTGGAGCACTTGCTGGTCGTCAGGCCGTTCCCTCCTGATCCTGCCCATCCATCGGCTAAGCCTCTGGGACTGACGCTCTTATTGGAAAGGCCCCTGCTGAGCTGCGCACGGAGGTCCTTCTTGCCTGCTGCTCCTGCGTGCTCGGTTTACTATATCTATATTTGTTCTTTCTCCAAACCTCTTGTTTCGTTGCCTACCTCTTACTTTCCGCGGCAGATGCACACGTTTTGTTGCGTTACCCCGATGCCCCGGAGAGGTGCGGTCGTCGGGGAGGTGCGCGGCCGACGAGGCGTCGCTCGGAGCCGCCGCCCCATCCCTTCGCGGAAAGGAGCGGCGAGGCGGTGGTGGGGAAGAATCCGAGACTTACCATTACAGTAATCCACGAGACATGGGCAGGAGGCGAGGAGGGGTTGTGGTGGTGGGGGAGGTGCGGCCGCCGCGCGGTGTGCGCTGGTGACGTCGTGTCCCCCCGGCGCGGCGGCCGCACAGTAGCCCAAGGGGCCACCGAAACACCTTTGAAGTCGCCGTCGCCGGCCAGGGGCGCCGCCCACCCCCATGGTGGCCATGGGACGCCCTCGCCTCCCCCTCCCTTCCCACGGGTCGGTAGGCTGTGTGTGTGTGTGCGATTTGTCGGACGAGGCTTTCCTCCTCGTTCTTTCTTTCGTTTCCGATCCGGCTCCGTTTCGTTCTGGACCCCATTGGCGGCCTGTCTCCGCCCCCGCTCGGCCGCCGCAGCCGCCGAGGATGGGGGGCGGGGCGGCCGCACCTGGCGGTGGTGGAGCAGGAAGGCAGCATTGTGCCAGCGTTCTGCGTGCAGCAGCCCTGCAGCGTCAGCACGGGCTCATTTCCGCACGGTTTTTAGTCATCATCATTATCATCATCATCTTCTCCGCCCACTCCATCACAGTTTACCGCTCTTGTTTCCCCGCGAGGAGGGCGCTGGGCAGCCCTGGTGCAGGACCCTGCTGCACCCGCCACGCCCTGCCACACGGCCAGCCCCTGTGCAGTGGCGGCGACTGCTGCATCCGTGTGTGACGTCTTGATGTCGGCGTGCCCGCGGCAGCAAGCCCGGCAGGGTCGGCACACGGCCGGCGGCCTTGTGGGCGTCGACACAGGAGGCAGCGGCGTAGCAGCCGTATGGCGTTGGCCCAGTGGCCCCCGCGGGCAAGAGGCGAGATCCTCACCTTGCTCGCTCGCACTCGCCGTCCTCTACGACAGTCTGTGGGCTTCCATATTCTTGATTATTATT